TGGAAGCCACGAGGTGGGCTGAGCGAAACCAGGAGTGGCCCCGAAAAAGTGGCCCTAGGGGGGGGGGGGCGTACTGGGGCCCACACAGGCCAGGTGGGGTCTGAGGCTGGAGAGCACAAGTGGTGAGCAGGGCATCCCCGTGGAGGGGGGCCTGGGCGGGAAGGTGAAGGCCAAGGTCGGGAAGGCCTGTGTGCAGGGGCAGGCCGGCTCCGCCCACCGGAGCCTGAGCCCAGAGAGGAGGTGCCCCTGTTGGGGGCTGCCCGGCACCGGGGTCAGAGCCCAGCATAGGTGGCAGGTTGCATGGGCCAGAGGGGGTGACAGCGGGCAACTTCACCTACAGAGACTGATCCAACATGTACACATATTAAGAATGGGAGCCAGGGTGTCACTGTCAGAGAAAGGAGTCACAAAGAAAAGGGGGAAAGATGAAAGCAGGCCCTGAGACACTGAATTAGACGCAGGGGCGTCACGTGAACGCCTCCTTGATGTGCGTAGATGGACGCGGAAACACGCTCTGTAAGTGTGCTTCCACACACCTGACGCTCACACGCGAGTTCTTCCCACTGAGACAGCCCGGGGGCCTGACACCCTAAAATCGATGAGCACACCTAGCCCCACATCCACTAAGTGGACCCAAGACTCCTTGGAGAAGCCACTGGACGGAGAACAGAGACGTGGAAAGTGCGAGATGCGCCTGGAAAGTCTTGTCAGAAAATGAGATTGTGAAGGAAGCCGTGGAAAGGACACAGAAGGCAGCGAAGATGCTCCGGGTTTTCTTTTCCCATCTTGAATGGGCAAGTCCAGAGGCTCCCGCTCAGCCCCTTCTGCCCGGGTCAAGGGCTTTCCTGAGGACCATGCAGAGCGATCTGGCCTCCTTGTGAGCCAGCAGGGCTGGACCCCGAGATGGAGGTCAGGGCTCCTGGGCCACGTCTCCCCTACGCAGGCTGGAAGGAGGCCTGGACTCAGCTCGCGGCCCCGCCCGCCACCGTCCCCCTCACTTCCCTGCTACCTCCTCACCCAGTGGAGACACCGTGGGCCTCACTGTCACCAGCTGCTGGCTCCTCCTTCCCTCCTCTGGGTCCCCAGCAACGCCCAGATCCAGGCGGCCCCGTCTCCGCTCCCACCCCAGCTGCTAAGCATGGCCAGAAACTGTCACCCACCAGGGAGGACTGGCCTACAGATCCGTGTCTGCTCACCTCCAATGGGCGCTGACCTCCCCCACGGTCCGCACCAGCCCGCCCTCCCTCGGCAAGCCATCCCGCCATTTCTCCTCCCCCTTCAAAACACTTACACCCTCCCCTCCCGCCCCCCCTGCCAGCGGTGGTCTCCCTTGTCACTGAGAAGCTGGAAGCAGCAGATCGGGGGCTTCCCGCCACCATCCAACCCTCTCTCCCACGTCCCCTCTGCTGCTGCGGTTAGCTGTCCTTTCTGCAAGGAGGAAGGCCCACCCCTCCGCCGGGCTCTGGGCCCCACCCCGCTTACCTCCTCCAGGGCCTCACTGCTGAGTTCACTTTCCCCCCAGTCTGCCAGGTTTCTGTCTCTGCTGGACAGCTGGATCACACACATGTTTTCCTATCTCCCAACCTTAAGAAACACCTCCCTCCCTTGGCCTCACGCCCCCTGTAGCTACAGTTCGGTTCTCTGTTTCCCGTCACAGCGGGTCACTCAGTCTCTCCTTAACCTGCTTTACCTGGACGCGGTCCCCTCCCCTCCATCGAGTCTGCTCTTGTTAAGAACAGCAACACCCTCAGCCGACACCGGAATTCAGAGGTCAGAGGTCACGTCTTTGCTGTCACCTCACTGGATCCCTTAGTGGCCTCCTCCTTCACTCCTCTGTCCCGAACGTCCGTCAGCATCTCTACCGAGTATATGTGAAAATGTCTCCTCTGCCTCTTGCTGGCCCCTTCCCTCGGCTTGACCCTCGAATGCTGGAATGCCCCAGGGCCCATTTCTCGCCCCTCGTCATCCCTGAGTGACCTCGTCCTGTGGCTCTAAACAAGGTCCGTATGCCGCGCACGCTCCAGCTCTCCCTGGCATGCCGGCCCCAGCCCCATGTCCAGGCCTCACTCCTCACGTCCACCTGCATCTCCCCTGGGCTCCCAGACCTAGCCTCCCTCCCTCCCGTCAGCCCAGGAGAGCTCCACTGCACACCCCGTTACCAGCCCTGCTTCTGTCTGGTCTCCCTCACCCCTGCGGCCCGGCAGCGCGGCCTCTCGCTTCTGTCGCCAGCACAGCCCACGTGGTCACTCCTCGCTGCCTCCACTCACGCCGCAGCACCTCTCCCTGGAGCCTCTGACTGCCTCTGCCCCCACTCTGGGTACACGCCACCTGCTCCAACCCGTCCTCCCCTGAGAAGCCTCCTCCCCAACTTAGCACTCTCCAAAATAGGAAAATCCCCAACCTCGTTTCCTAGTTCACAGACACTGCGTGATCCGCCCACCCTCCCCTGCCCTGCTCAGCCCAGGGCCTGAGGACTAAACCTCACCCCGCCAACTGATGGACGGTACAGGTGTTCTGATCAGAGACCCCTATCGGGGTGAGCGTGTTCAAGAGGGTCCCAGAGGGAGGGGTCCTGGAGGGAGGGGCTGGGAATGCTGCCAATGCCTGGGGAAGGGGTGAGGGGAGGAAGGGAAGGGAACGCCCCACTCTCTTTAAATTCAGACTCCAGCTGAAAGGAGGCCCCACTCCCAAGTTAACCTGATTGCCAAGACAGCTCCATCCGCAGAGGACCTGTGGGCATGGAGGACCACAGAGACAGCGCCTGGGGTCTGCCAGGACGCCACCAGGTGGTGACAGGAGAGGTGGGGCTGGGGGCGGAGGAGAGGGACGGGGGAGGAGGGAGTTGCCATCTTGCAAAACTAAGAGGTGCCTACAGCCAGGGCCGAGCAGAGGGCCTGGGAATGAAGGGTTCGGCCTCAGGCTGGGCTCTCTGCTCGCTGCGCTGGGACACACGTGCCCGTGGCTGCCGTGGCCTGGGAACCTCCGAGCCCCGGGGGCACAGTCCTGCTAACCGGGCCTTGACTGGCCTCCACCTTCCCGTCAGCCTCCGCCTCCCAGACAAGGAAGGACAAGGCCCTCACCCCCTCCGTCCACGGGACAGCGCGCAGCGGAAAGTCTTACTGTTGTCCAAGTGGTTGGCCTTAATGATCTTCTCTGAGTAGTCCGAAATACTGGAGCATTCGATCTAGAAAGGACAGAGGACAGAGGAGCAGCGCGTCAGAACCACAGCACGTCCAGGGCCAGTTTCCGGATGGCGGCGCTGAGGCCCAGAGGGGCACAGTGGCTTGTCCGCAGCCACTTGGCTACTTCGCGGCAGATTCAAAACTGACCCGCAGCCCTCCGGACGCACAGGCCGGTGGCCCCCCCACCACATCGGGCCGCCTCTGCCCCGGCACGGAGGGCCTGGCCTCTGAGCGGGGAGGTCCGGGAGGAGCTGGGCGGACTCACTCTCCTGGTGCAGCCACCGCCCTCCCAGGAGAGGATGCGGGAGGCAGGGCCATGGCCAGAGTGGCTGTTGGTCCCCCTGACGTTGTCCGCGGCCCTCCCACCCCCAGGCCTCCCTGGCTGAACGAGACTCTTGGGAAAATGCCGAGTCATGGCCTCTGGCATCTTAAGATCCCTCCGCGCCCCGCAGGTGTTAACTCACTCCTTCCGCAGCTTCCACATTTAAAAGAATTGATTCTTTTTCGTCTAGAAGCCTTTCCAGTTTCCCCAAGTCTCCTAAGCAAAGGGCCCAGGTATTTAAGAAATTAATCGACCACCCGCTGAGAGCAGGCCCTCGTGGGAACAGCAGGAATCAGGGCCCAGCCTAGGGGCTGGGGACCTGGGCCAGGCGGGGAGGCCGGGGCGCCCGGAGCAGAGCGGCAGCTGCGAGGACCTGTGGTCGCCTCCCCAGCTGCCCCCTCAGAGGCCGGCTACTCGGGCCATGGGCCCCCTCTTCCCACTCCGGGGCCCCCGACTGCCCGGGGCCTTGGGGAGAGTATTTGCGTCGGGGCACGGTGGGCACGGTGGGCACGGTGGGGGAGGGGGCCCCCGGCAAATCTTCGAGTGGGTGAGGGCGCCCATGGGGTCGGGAAGGGGCCACTCACTGGCTGAAGGAGGCAGATCCCGGCCAGGGCTCAGGTCCCGGGCGGAGGAGCCCTTTCCTGGGCTACCGGGGCTTGTGGCCTTCGAGCCCACTGTCCAGGGGACTGGGTCTCTCGCCAGGCCCCTCGGCTCCCTGCCACGTCACCCTCCCCTGCAAGAGGCCGCTGAGATTGGCGGTGAAGGACCAGGACCCACAGCCGGGCAGCCTGGATCCCCACCCGGCCGCTGCCACCCCCTGAGCCTCCGCGTCCTCCTCAGTCAAGTCATCATTCCTGTCTCCCGTGGCCGTGGTGAGGGAGCACTGGTGCTCCTGGGAGGAGGGGTGCTGGGCTGCTCCCCCACCTCCCCAGCCCTCCTCTCTGTCTGTCTTTCTGTCCCTTTCTCTCCATTTCTCTTTTCACGTCTGTCCCTCTGTCTCAGTTCCCTGTCCATTTCCTCTGTCTCCCGCCACCCCGTCTCCCTCACTGAGAAGAGCTCAGAGCAGGAGAAACTGTGCAGTGAGCCCAGCTAACTGGGGCCAAGCCGTTTACAGAAAAGCTGGTACAGCAAAAATCTAGGAGGCAGACAGAATGGGACAAGTGGCCAGGGCTGGAAGGCGCGAGCGGGGCCTCCTGACAGCTCGTGGCTGGAACCCCCACCACCAGGAAGCGATGACAGGCAGCCTTGCCTTTCCCTGCTCAGCCCTGGGCTCCCGCGCCCCTGGCCCAGGCCCAGGCCTCAGAGCCACACTGAGAGGGAGGGCGGGCGGGCGCTGGGGTCACAGGAGGGCTCACGTCCAGCCCTGAGGCTCTGCAAGCGCCTGGGAAGGGGAGTCTGTCCCTTGGCCGGAAGCCCCCATTGTGGGGAGGAGGACCTGGTGAAGGAAGGCTGGAAGGTGGGGAGGGGTGGTCCTGGTGAAGAAGGCCTTGACCGTGGACATCTGGGCTGGCCCCGTACCCTCAACGTGCACCTCAGCTGTCCCGGTCAAAGCCACACCCGAGGTGCCCTGAGGACAGCCCCCGTGTCCCGGAGACCCTCTCCAGCCAAGCGCAGTGTCAGGTCAGGCGCTCAGGCACGGAGCAGGACTGCCGTCCTGCTGGGGGCCTAGGGCCTAGCGCTGAGGTGGGGAGCCTCGGGGATACGGAGGGTTCTGATCAGCCAGGATCCGGCAGGGGTGGTCTTAGGACAGGCTATAGGACAACCCAGCCAAGTGCACAGAGACTGAAGGCCCACCGAAAGCCCCCACGGGCCTCGGCACTGGGGGCCCTGTGCGCATCCTGTGTTGACCGCAGTGCGCTGTGAATTTTGATCAAGATGAATCTCCACTTTCCAGCCCCTGAGCCGCTGCAGTTTTCAAATGTCAGCCTGCAGCTCAGAGCTCTTGCTTCTCAGTTTCTCCCTGGCTCCGGACCCTCCCAGCACCCTCCCCTCCTCCCACCCCCCAGCCATCAGGCTGCGTGCAGCTACACTGTGGGGCCTTCTCCGGAGGTCAGCCTCCGCCACCTCCAGCTGGAGAAGCTGCAGCAGCCGGGTCAGCAGAATTTCAGTCTACCAACTTGCCTTTAAAGAACAGAGGAAGAGTATCTTGTTGCATCCCTGGGCTCCAACTGTATTAAAACCGAGCATTTGACTTATGCCAGGCGCTGTTCTAAGCACTTGGCTTACGTATTAGACTCATTCACTCCCCAGAATCTCTCCACGAGCAAGGTACTATTATTATGCCCATTTTATAGATGGGGAAACCAAGGTGCAGAAAAGCAAACTGTCCACGGTCACACATCTCAAGGGTGGAGGAGCAGAGATTCTAACCCGAGCTCACCAGCGTAGCCACCCTCCCCTGCCTCTCAAGCCCACAGAGGGACTAAGGACTCTAAGGCAATGATGACACCAGAACAGGTTTCAAAAAGTCAAAAGTCCTCCACGAACGTCAACTGTTGCCAGCGCAAGGCTGGGAGCCGTGCCCAGGTGACAGGGAGCCAGGGCGCGCGCCCACCTCCCAAGAGCCACATCTCGCTTCCTCCCGGAGAGCAGAGAGTGGAGAGCGTGATCCCAGCCAGGAGGGGCCCAGGGCGCGTACTCCCAGGAAGGGCCGGCTCTGCGGGGACCGGCGGAGGCAGGGAGTGGTCTGCTCACCCCAAACACCTTCTTGGCCCCCGCTTTGGCAGCAAACATGGAGAGGATCCCAGTGCCGCTTCCGACGTCCAGCACCACCTTGTCCTTGAACACGTGCTTGTTGTGGTACATGGAGTTCCGGTACGTGAGCGTCCGCACCTCGTCCTTCAGCATCTCCTGTCCGGAAGGAAAGGCAAGGCTAAGCCAGTGTGTGCTGGGCGCTTGGGAGCATACCCGCAAAATCACGGGCCCAGGGCTTCTCCCCCCCAATTCTTCAGGGCCCTCGGCGGGGTCATGAGGCAGAGCCCAGAAAGTGTAGAGCCGGGCAGCTGGACCAGGGCTCCCTGCATCAGCACACACAACTCCAGCCCTAAAACGCTGCCCAAGAAAGATCACTTTACTATCCAAGGAGAAACTCATGCCCACATCTGGGAAAGCTCCAGTTTATCAGAAACCAAAAGGATGGGTTCAAACACAGCACGAGAGATTTAAGTTAGACGCAAAGCAGAACTTTCTGCCATGGTGAGAGATTTGTCATTTAACAGGTTATTAAAGGAGGCTTTTTGTGTGTGCACTTTTTTTGCTTGCTTGTATTTAGGAATAGAAAACATGTTTCTCTAGCCACTAATATTTAAGTGCTTTGGGATAAGGAAGGACTAGATTACCCACTACAACCATCTCCAAACCAAGGAGAACATGATTAACCTGTGTATGGTGGTGACGCAGGGATCTTCATCCATTCAAGCCATTAGCAAACACTCTAACTAGTCATCAATAAAACTGGACTCCTTTAGTGTAATTTCAGTATAATTTTTTAAAATATAACTTGCATACAGTAAGAAGCAGACGGGTATAGCTCAGTGGTAGAGCACATGCTTAGCATGCATGAGGTCCTGGGTTCAGTCTCCATTAAGAAAAATCAAGAAGAAAAAAAGCACAGATTTTAAACACATGGTTAATTATATAAGTTTTGACTAATGTACACCTGTGTAACCAACACTGTACTCAACATACAGAATACTTCCGTCATTCCAGAAAGTGTTCCATGCGCACGTGCAGGTAATCCTCATGCCCACTCCCGACAAACAACGACCTAATTTCTACCACCAAAGCCCCCCTCTGCCATTCCTAGAACTTCACTTAAATGGAATCGCACAGTCTGTACACTTTCGTGTCTGGCTGCTTCTACTCAAAGCTTCTTACTTGTAGGTCCTTGATTCATGTCAAACTAATTTTTGTATATGGTGTAAGTTAGGGGGGTGAGTTCACTTTTTCACACAAATTGATGGTCCAAGCGCCATTTGCTGGATAGAATAGTGTTTTCCCCATTGAATTAACTTGCCACTTTCGTCAGAAAATCAATTGACTGTGTGTGGGTGGCCTCTGTGAACTGTTTCATTCACGTATCGATTCGACTGTCACTTGGCTACTGTAGCTTTATATTAACTCTGAAATAAAGGGCTGCGAGTCCTCCAGCTTAGTTCTTTTACAAGATTACTTCCGTTTTCCTGGATCCATTGCGTTTCCAACCACATTTTAAAACCAGCTTGTTAATTCATACAGAATAACCTCCTGGAGTTGATTGAAATTACGCTGAATCTATAGGTCAATTTGGGGAGAACTGACGTCTTAGTAATATTGAGTCTTTCAATCGGTGAAA